CCGCGGAACTGCGCGGCGTCATTCGGGAGTGTTGGCACTGTTACTGATTGAAGGTCCTCAGTTCTATATATGGATGTCTCATCATTGATCATTGCGGAACCTGCGCCTACAGACCTGAGACCACCGTGGCTACGATCCATTGAACCACCACCACTTCCCCCTCCATCATCTGGCTCACTGGGCCATGATGGATCATGAGTGCTCAGTGGTGTGAAACCTCCCTTTCCTTTGTCACCATCACCGGCCTCAGATGAGGAGGATGATGATGAAGGAGTACCCGGCTGTCCTGGCGGCTGCGGCTTCTTCGGTGACATGTTCATGAACCCTTGTGGAACATAACCCGCACACGCAGACTGGCTTGGCGACACGTGTGGCGACGATGCGAGAGGGGTAACGAAAGGCGACCCTGCTGGGAACCGACCCTGGCTGACTGGGTTGACTGGAGTGGCAACGTCGTATTTCTGGTGCATGGCAGCTTGCGGTGAACTCTGCATCAAGGACCTCCTACGGGTATCCTCTTTCAACTGCCTCACCTCGCTTCTCAAAGCCGATATGCACTCCATCAACTCTGTTTGATCCGTGCCATTTTGGGGAGGGATTGGTGACCGTGACTGGTGATGAACTACTGTCAACTGATTCTGCAATGACAAAACCATGGCCTGCATCTCCTGAAACCTATCCCTTTGTTGAGCCAGTTCCTGTTGTTGGGATTCCAATTGTTCGAACAAGGTCCTATATTGTATTGTTCCAATTGTTGCAATTGCAAACTCAAGTCCCCATGTGCTAGGTTCGCAGTAAGCTGAATCCTGGAAATCTCTTCCTGGTGTCTTGCATTCAACTGGGCTACATGGGCTGAAGCCTCTGACTGAATTTGGGGTACCCTGTGCTCGGCACCCATCACACTGACCTCTGCAACCCTTTGGGCTTCTTGGGATTGTTGATGATATTGGGCAACCGCATTCAGAGCTTCTGCGCGGACTTGGGTTTCAGGGCATGTGCAACCGCAGGATCAACACCAACGCTCAACATGCTCAACTGTTGCTGAGTGCGATGATCATGATTGATAAGTCTGTTCGACATGTTCTGATCTTTGATCAACATTGTCAACATCGACTTGTACATCCATGCGAGTCATTGTAACATCTTGTGGAAATGACCCTTGTCCCCGATGAGATGCACCCCAACTGGAACCAACCCTTTGGATACCTGATGGTGGCAAGGAGGCACGACTGGAACTGCTCGACGAGCGACTACATTCTTCCTAACGCTCAAGGCCTTACTTCTAGATGGTGCCTCGATGACCTCCGGCGATGTGGACGAAACCTGAAGGGACGTGTCAGGGCTGTCGGATCCGGGAACCATGGATGATGAGATTTCACTGATTTGAGGCATGAAGATTTGGATGAATGACACTTCTTAGCAAAATGCCGTGCCCAAAGATTATGCTTTGCAAATCAAAGAGGGTCAAACACCAAACACACTATTGTAGGTAAGTTATAGGAGTGAGGATGCACCCAAACAGCGCAAACACTCACTCGTTGGCGTTGGTGACCAAACCCCTTTCACCTGACTTTTCACCCTTTTGGCTTCGAGTCGAATGGAAGAAAGAAAGTGTCACCCCTCGTTCAAAGTCGGCACCTGGCAAAATACACTCGGATTCAACCTACAAGCTTTGCAGGGATTCACGAGTGAGCGGTCACGAATGGTGCAAAATGCCGCAACGCAGGATCACGGAGCCGTTCCGATGAAGCTGTTGCAGGCCACCTCGATCGCGTCCAAGATGTTCCGATGCCAGCTCACACCTGTCACAGCCCTCTGCGTCCTCCAATGCCGGGGAACCTTGATCCCAAAGATCCCTGAACTTCCGGCAGAATGCGATACGTGTCTGTTCGCAGTGTCTCCTTTGGAAACCTCACCACGTCCAACACTTGCAAGATGCCAGTCCACCGAAAAGATCAAACGTCCTGTATGCTTGAACTCTGGAAGACGACTGATGCGGAATCCCAAGCTCCTCACTCGATCTGAATCAACACGCGCACCTGAAGGTGGATTCGCAGGTTCCGGCGCTTCTGCACTACTTGATGCACGAGCGGTTGACGGACGGAACACCGATGTCGGCACAATGCGAACGGAGCTCGAACTCGAACCTGGCTGCGAAGAATGCTTGGGCGTCGGAAGAAGCTTCGGAGTTGTTGCGAACAGTGCGCTGCGGCGGGATAGCCTTTGGCGGTGGCGGAATCACAGGTCAACTCCTGACCTCAAAAGTGTGTCTTCCAAGGTCTGGGACGACAGGAGCTGCCGTCTCTTCAACTTCCGCTTCAGACGTCACTGATCGCAATTGTCTCTGCAACAAACGAATCCTCCGACTGATACCCAATGTCCTCACGCGGCGGCGCAGGCTCAAGCCTCGGAAGAAGTGGCTGATCCCTCCTCGGCAACTGACACTCCTGAACCTTGGCCAACTGCTCTTGCGCTTGGATCCTTCGGCGGCTCAAATACAAACTGTGTGGGTTGTATTGATCGTACTCCGGGTCTTCTGTATGGGCTGTCAGAACACGGATGAAATACGTCAGGAGCTTAAGACAGGCAGAGCGATACCTTCTCTTGAAGCTAGCGCCCGACCTCTTCTCCTTTCGAATCTTGTTGAATCGATTCTGCAGCCACAGACGCTCTTCCGAGCCAGACCTTGAACGATCTCTCTCGTCCATTCACAGTCGTACGCGCGCCCGATCGACCCCAAACACAAGTGGATAGCTGTGTCCAGTCTCGAACCACAAAGCCGTACGAACAAATGAACTTAGGTTCTCACCCTGCAAGTGCTCAGCAAGTCGGGGAGACCAAAGCAAAATGCCAACTAAGTTATATGGAGGTAGGTCTTACAAATTGGGGGATGCACCCTCGGATGCAAACACGCCCAGCAAGTCCTGGAACTTGAGCGAGACTTAGTCGCGACACACAAATCACCTGAGTTGGCAAGAGGCTGGAGCAACTCGATACCAGCAGTTACCAAGGGTCAGTGACAAGTGTTGGAGTGGTTTACTCACAATGCACAAAGGCTTGGCTCGAACCGATGTGTGTATGCAAGATAAACCTGAATGTATGTATATGGATGAGGCTGTTAAACTGTTGAGTACGTGTCCCACAACCTCCCAGGACCGTACCCAATGATCGCAAGCACAACGCTGCCTGTTTTACTTGAGCCAAATAGTCAAAGTGCTGTAGTACAAAAGACAAGACACAACATGTCAACATGGAGGGGTGTACAGTGCTATGTACATCTAAACTCTCAACTAAAATGTATCAAAATGATTGGACACGTTACTTGGCCGTGGGAGTTGGTTACAGGACTTGGAGCCCACACCTGGACGCCTGTAGCCTTGCTCTGAGGCCGCCACACCTGACAAGAAAGTAGAAGCAAAGCAACACCTTGATTTCAAATTCTACACTTGTTCCTTTCAATAGTCTTGATCTTCAAAAACCTTGCACAGCAAAACCACACCTGATCCACATGTTCATTGGTGGAAGAATCACATCAGAGTAGCCAAGGCATCAAAACAATTCTCTCTAGCATTGCCTGAGTAAACCGCAAATGAAACCACGATCCAAAACGGGCCAGCATTGCATCCTCGGCTTTCTTCGCAGCGCCGTGCTGTTGGCTGGGAGCCTCCTTGGTGGCACTGATGTAAGTCAATTGGAATTCATGTTCAATTAGTATATGCTCTAATGTTACTACCAGTACAGCAGGTCTCTGCAGCAGCGTAACCCTGGCCTAACCTAACCTGGCTTTGTGACAATATGTGATGCCCGAAGACGACAATCGCATGTGATAAATCTTCCGAATTCAGCTTTATATATATAACATAACTGAAAAAAAACCAAGGCATTCATAGCTTATCATAGCCTCCAATTCTTCTGGTCGGTTTGAGTCTTCCGAACCTTCTGCAGCTTCCGCAGCTCCCGTTCAGCTGCCTGCAAGTGACATTGAAGTTGTGGGCGTTTCCCTCCTTGGGAAGCAAAGCAAGACTGTAGGCCCTGTAGGCATCTCACGGCATCTCTATATCTCGGCGAAAGAGTGAAGAGCTTTTGCACAACGAAGAAGAGTCGGCAGAAACGTCGCTCTCCAAGTCCCACCTGCAACGACGCTTCCACGGCCACAACCTGCGCTAGCTTGGCTCCAAAACACTCAATTGTTTCTCCATCCCAATCCAGTCATCTTTGTGCGATGGATTTTGATATTGTCACATAGACATATGAATACATGTGACATATGTGGTGTGGGCCCTTGGTAGTGACTTTGATTCATTGCCACAGCTGCATAACACCTTACGTAGCTGTCTTAACGGTACAGTCAGCATCATCTAGACAATGACTGACGAGATAATATGTTGATATAGTTTCTTTCATTTTCCTAACTTCTGACTCCTGACGTTTCCTAATTGTTTCTTTGGACCTTTAGACGTCAGACCTACTTTGTGGCCTTCCTTGTTGTGTAAAAGGAAGCAATGAGCGATCGGCACTCCTTCTTTCGGGGCCTCTTGCTGGTAGAGGTCGAAAGCTCTGGTTCGCTTCTCGGCCACGCTCAGCGGCCAATCCATGACTTTACACGCCAACAAGCATCTGTGGCCAATATGGTGAATACATTGAATATATCAGCAATATTGTGCTAATATGACATTGATGTATTCTGCTAAATATCTCAATATGTGTTCTATGTTTCACATCGTCTAAGTGAATGTTTGGAAACTCGTTCCTCTGACTTCCTCACAGTAAAAGTTCTGCAAATTTAAATGTTGTGTTGCTTGACCATCTCTTGAGCTCTGTGGGTTCACCCTCATCAATGGGAAGCACAGCTTGAGTGAATACATCGATGCCAGACACATTTTTGGTTGCAAATCTGCGTAAGCTACGTCCACTGAATAACTTTGTGAATCAGAATTCTACCTCTTCTTGCCTGCCTGCATGATTGCATGTCAACAGTATGTCAACTAAGCCAGACAGGCCCTGCATCCACGTGACCTACCACCACCAGGCTGATGGTCGGGCGATCATCTTGTGGAGCCTAATATTGAAGAGAAGCTTGTTGCAATTAGATGAGGGAACCAAAAGGCCCTTTGCTCAATGGCTGTCTAATCGAATGCAACTGACAACAACTTTGCAACATTCGCCCTGACATCCCCAAACCAGAGAAGTGGTCAAAGAATCCGTTATGTGCATTTGCATTTGCAGCTTGGAAAAAGGGTTCAAGACCAGTAAATGGCCTTCCAAAAGCTCCCGTCATCGTTGCAATCAATTGGTTAGACAGCTCAGGTTTGGACTTCCGGCGGAAGCTCTACCTGAAGAGCACAGTACACCAGTTTGTTGTCAGCTTGTAGATCCCCAACGAAACCAGCGTCCACGTTTCTATCATCACAGGATGTGCAATCTTGAGCACTTATATAACAAAATTGAAATGAAATTGGACTAGTTGGCCCGCTCCTCTGCCTCAAGCGTCTCCTGCGGATTTATGACGATTTATGCTGCGAAAATATCACAACTCATAAACCGGACACGTTCAACAAGTACAAAACCAAATTCACTTTGACTGAACCACTGACCAAACGGCAGTCAACGTTTCTTGCGTTCGTTTGATGCTCCATGGCTCCTTCACAGCCTTGGCTTCAGCCTTGGCTTCGGCCTTGGGCTTGGCGTCAGGTTTCGCCTCCAATAGTGTGAGTGTGAAACTTGTGCAATCAAGGTCCCTTTTGACCTTCCAAAAGACTTTCAATTAGTACCAAATGATTAGTTATATAATTAGGTATAGCTCCTGGTGTTGATCAATTGATCCAAGTCGGTCCAAGTCACAAGCCCCCCCAAAAAACTAGACGACGAGTGGCCCGAAAGCATTTTTCATCACGTAGGAAGTCAGAGTGTGAGTTATCTATTAAGATCTATTAAGTGTTCAGTGTGAAGCGTTAAGTCGAGTGAGTTGAGGTAGTGTGTGGGTCTCTGTGTGTGTGTCTATGTCTGTGTGTGTACGAGTCTCTGTCTGTGTGTGTGTCTGAGTAAGTTGAGGCATGGGTCTCTGTGTGTGATGTGTGTGTATGAGTCCCTGTCTGTGTGTGCGTCCATGTCTGCTGCTGGTGAAGGTCTTCACTGTAGATATAGTGAACGAAGTAGCGCGCAGGCCTCCCAAACCCCTCACCGGCGGCCAAGCGGTGACAGCCCAGCTCATCGTCGTGAGCATTTGAGCTGCTGGTAAGGGGAGAAGCAGCGCGCACGCCTCCAGGAAATCTCACTGAAAAAAGCGAGCTGGAATGAACACAGTACGCAACAAGTTTGTCGAACCAGTGACCTGTCAGAGGAGATGCGTCCATCGATATACGATCAGAGGTAACGTTTCCTTCACTCCAGGACACAGCTTTTCTAGGATGTAGTTAACCAACCACAATGCTTGTCATTGACTAATTGACTGTCTCAAAGAAAAACGTGACAAAGTAGCATGAGGTGACACACGGCAGGCCCCGCAGATGTTTTAGCACACAGGACACGTCGCACTCTCGCCTACATATCGGGCACTCGACACGCACGATCTCCGCAGAGGGTTGTCCGCGTGCAGAACCAATCGCGCTCTCGCCTGTATTTCGCGCACTCGACACGCGCAATCTCCGCAGAGGGTTGCGCGGGCACCGGACAAATCGCACTCTCGCCTGCATTTCGCGCACTCACTCGACACGCGCGATCTCCGCAGAGAATTGCGCGGGTACCGGACACGTCGCACTCTGGCCTGCATTTCGCGCACTCGACGCGCGCGATCTCCGCAGAGGGTTGCGCGCGGACCGCACCAATCGCACTCTCGCCTGCATTTCGCGCACTCGACACACTCGACGCGCGCGATCTCCACAGAGGGTTGCGCGGGCACCGGACAAATCGCACTCTCGCCTGCATTTCGCGCACTCGACACGCACGATCTCCGCAGAGGGTTGCGCGGGCATGGGACACATCGCACTCTCGCCTGCATTTCGCGCACTCGACACGCGCGATCTCCGCAGAGGGTTGCGCGGGCATGGGACAAATCGCACTCTCGCCTGCATTTCGCGCACTCGACACGCGCGATCTCCGCAGAGGGTTGCGCGCGCAGGGGACAAATCGCACTCTCGCCTGCATTTCGCGCACTTGACACGCACGATCTCCGCAGAGGGTTGCGCGGTAATATGACAGATCGCGCTCGCGCCTGCATTTCGCGCGCTCGACGCGCACGATCTCCGCACAGGGTTGCATTTTCGGTTGACGCTGTTCGTCCCACCCTCCGCCTTTAAGAGAGAATTAATAAAGTGGGGAAATGTTTTTCATTAGGACATCTCCCGTGCACGTTTTCCATACTCACGCTTGCGTGCTCATTGCGTACTCATTATCATTAGGACATCTCCCGTGCAAGTTTTCCAAACTCACACTTGCCGTTGGATGCTTTCACTCTTCCACTTACACTGGGATACGTATAAAAGTGTAAGTCTTCATGCTCATGTTCAAGTGTAAGTGTGGAAGCGTAAGTGTTCAAGTGTAAGTGTAGAAATGTCAGTGTTCAAGTGCAAGTGTGGAAGTGTCAGTGTGTAAGTGTCAGTGTTCAAGTGCAAGTGTGGAAGTGTCAGTGTGTAAGTGTAAGTGTCGAAGTGTCAGTGTTCAAGGGATTTTCCGGAAGAACCCTTCGCAATGCTTTCGGGAAAAGTTCACACCAGGTTGAAACGGCTGGCCTTTGGCGCAGATTTGGCAGAGGATTTGGCCTGGACGTTTAGCCATGGCGTGTCATAGCAAGCGGAATCTAGCCATCTTGTTGGTTGCGCTGATTCAAAGCCGTCTTTTGCGTATTTGCTTCGAGTGGTAGACAAACAAACAAACCAACAAACAAACAGACAGACAAACAAACCAACAAACCAACAAACAAACAGACAGACAAACAAACAAACAAACCAACAAAC